TTACTGAAAACTTCATATTTGTAACTGAAATAATGGTCGAGAAATTTCAGTCCAATATGGGAACTTACCGAGCCAGTCTGTTTAAATTATAGCAATCCTTCAGTATCTGTCTATATTTCTGAGATGAGATATTATGTACACTATTTACATCTTTGTGGCTATATCAATTACAACGTTTCGACCGTTGTACGCTCCGGTATTCTTCAGGTGGTTGGAATGTCGAATTGAACAGTCTACCCCAGTGAGCGAAATAAAGGGTTCAGTTCGAAGAAGGCCGGTGTGTACAACAGCCGAAACGTTGTAATAAATATGGCGACAAAGATGAGGACAACAGTTCGAATAATGTAAATAGTGTATATAACAATCCTTTTTCACAAGATATATAAGACATTTTTTTTCTTCTCTTCTATTCTCAAATGGCCAAAACACTGTCTTATATTTTTTTTACTTTGAACTTGAAGCCTAATGAAGGCAAGTTTTATCCTGATGTCTCACTAGTATAGGTTAAATTTCATAGCAGATATAAACTTCTAGCTATCCCGAGTTTATAATAATATTTACTCAAACAACCTTATTAGTAGTAGTATAATTACTGTTAATGTAGCAAAATCCCGGCGAATCCGTCGGTACCAGCTGATTGATCTTACCTAAACATACCTCAATACGTTCCTGCAATTAACCAGCTGGATGCTACCGAAAAAGAACCGTAGTTGATAGGAAATACCTGTAATGTTAAAATTGTGTTTTGCTTTTGTTAGTGAAATAGTAGCTTCAATTTTATTACTGTAATCATGTAGATATTTTCAATATTATGATTTTTTGATGTATCTTCAGATGTAAAGCCGCCTTAATTCTTATATACATATATATGAAATGGACAAAGTCCGACAAGGAGCGTTCGGTTATCAATGTTGAATTCACTGTATTTAAACTTCAATCTTCCATGAACCTCTCACGTACATTCATATCTGCTCATGGCGTATCAAATGAAAACAAATGACGCCACACATTATGAAATGGACAAAGTCCGACAATTATTTTAAGACATTTTTATGTTTAACATTCTTTTTATAGATATAAATATTCAAGTAAATTAAACAACATTTACCGGCCTGAATTTCCGAGAAGTTTGCACAGAAAATCTTCGTCCTCCAACAGGATTCGAACCTGCATCCTTACGGAACCGTCATTTAGCGTGACGTGCCTTTAATGATTTGGCCACAGAGACGCGTTCGGTTATTATAAACAGGACATTTACTTAAATATGTGTATCTATAAAAAGAATGTATAAACATAAAATATATATATATATATATATATATATATATATATATATATATAATTTTCTCTTCTAGCTAGTGCTTTAAATATTAAATGCTTAGGCACACTAAACTCTTTGCTCTTGGATATGACCTGCTGAAATTGAGGTGTCTCAAATATACCCATGCGATTTCGATATTGCCAAACCCTTATAAGCGCATACACGTGTATTATCATTAATATGTTTATACATTTGTCTATTAAAATGGTGCATTTATCTCTGTATATGTGTGTGTCTGTGTGCGTGTAATTTTATACCATTAAGTATGTTTCTCGTGCATGTGCTTTTGTTCCTGCTATATTCCGTTTGGGAGTTTGTAAATCTTCCAGTACTGTGCGCACAATTCTGCAGGGGGAGTGGAAATGTCGATTCTAATTGACTGTCCAACTCGACACTGACAGCGGTAAAAGCTGCTCTTTTGAATTAAGAAGACGCCATTTTATTTTCTTTCCAAACAAGTGCCCATCTTTCACTAGAGATCTCCGAAAAACAAACAAGTACGAATAAGCATTTGTTTCACTGTCACTGAGTTGGAAGTGAGGGGTGGAGAGAACCGTTAATGCCTGACGCCAGCCTTTACTTCTAGTTCCTGCAACTCGTTAGAATCCCTCACGGAAGAAATAAAGTTTAGTTCGCAGTTTAAATATTGGATAGTGAATGACTAACTTTGACAGCTAACGCTTCTAGGCTAGTCTGCCTCGTGAATGTCTTTGTTCAGAACGGACTTGCCTTCTCCATATTGCTTGGTTCGTTATTCCAAATAAATACTCCACTCATTGTCGTATTTACGACCATTGGATGCGCCTAATTGTATATTATTTTCAATTTCATCTGAATTAGTGTGATTATAACCCCAATATTAAAATTTTATTGCCTCGGAATTGGAAATTATTCTTTCAAGAGACGTCTGAGTGTTTGGAGTTGTTCTATGGGAATTGCTTTAGGGAGAGATGTCAAATGATGGATTTCTTCAGTTCTTAAGTTTTATCCATTGTTAGTAACGACTGACATTTGTATGCAACAGAGAGGGATTAGTTCTTGGAAATGTAGGATACAGAATTCTGCAGTATTTTGGAACTGATAAAAGAGAATGAAAATCAAATGAAGAAAAATATTAAAAATATTATACAGAAATCAATAAAATCTCGAATCTAAAAATAAAATAAAAATCAATTGAAGAATTCGGCAATATAGTAGATAGCATAAAATTGTCGTGTCCATTTTACACTAGTGGAATATATTTTAAGACATTTTTATATTAGACGAGAAATAATCATATTTAACACAATGTGTAAGAACATTGCATTTTAATTTTTTTCTGTGTATATTATCGATAAAATCATCAAAACGAATGCTCGTCTAATATAAAAAATGTCTCAAAATAGGTTTAACTAGTGAAAAATGGATACTAAATGGTTGATAAAAAAAGTTAAGTATTTATGCCATCTTCCATTATCTTCTGCAATGTTTCAGGTAGTTATTACTCCATCCTTCAAGACAGTTTTAATATTCTCTCCTCAAAGAACATCGAGATGCGTCTTTTGTAGTCTTCTAGGGAACTTAAATAATATCTTTAAAAGGGACTTTTTACAATTATATTCCTCCTATATAAGGTCCAAGAGCCCCTCGAGATAGAGGTTTACAGAGTGAGAGACAAGGTTTATGCGAATATGTGAGGAAGATAACGATTAATCTTATCGAGTCGCCACACCACACCCATTCAGTGCTTCCCACAGAGCCTTAACTGGAATGTTATGGTTTCAAGGTTGTTAAATGAATCTTCAAGACTGGGGCAAACTAGAAGATGCTCCATAGATTGTAATTTCCCGCATGGGCAGTTTGGGTCATCATCATTTCTGAAGGTTGGCTCTACAGCGAAGAGGATTCACGCAGGACCAAAAGAACCAGACCACTGGAGCCAGTGGGAGGGATTCTGTAGGGCTGATATAGAGGAGCCTGTGTTCCACGTTGTTAAGGTGGCTGCATCACAGGGAGGGACACTGACTAGGAAATCTGTTGTTCAGTGACACGACTGAATGTAGAAAACTGTCTTTACTTGAGCATCTTTGTCATTGGTTGAAAGCTGTGGAGTGGATGACGAGGGTCAGATTCCTGCTTCAACTTCTCAAGTTGAGTGAGCTGTTCTTCTGATGTAAGGGGAAGCAACACCACAAATCAAGTATTGAAACATCTAATTTCGTTGACTTGAGACACACACAGATAAATCTTCAAGAGGCGTTTAAGGCAGAGTCGATTTTCTTTGCGTGTGATGATCTGTTCCTAACTAGTGTCGCATATTCTACTGTGATTAGCAAAGGGCTGGGGCCATAGAGAGGGCTGTACCGGCATGAGCACCCCAATTTGTATTAACCAGCTTTTTTAGGATGTTTCTTGATCTAATCTTGGCTTTAGTCTTTGTAATGTGGTTCTTGTATGTGAGGGATTGGTTCAGAGTGACCCCAAGGAAGACAGGCTTTGAAGTGTATTCCGTTTTCCATACCAGTTGATCTTGAACTGGCCGATGGCTTCCCTGTTTCGCAGGAGGAAGGCACTGTTTTGAGTCTTGTTAGTGTTACCTCGAAGGTGTTTGACAGCATATTATGGTATAAAGCGAACCAGAGCACTGGTGAGTGAGATCTCAATTACCTGGAAAAATTGCTTCCGGAATGTAACGTAGAGATCATCTGCATAGAGAAAGCACTTACTATTTGGGTAGGTGGCATGATCATTTGTGTAGATATTGAAGAGGAGGGGATCAAACGCGCTACCATGGTGGGGAGACCATTCGTCTGTCCGCCATTGACTGGGATTCCCAATGAGGTCCATAAAGAATCGTCTGTTTGACAACAGTTTCCTTAAGAGGAGAGTGAGCTACAAATCCCCACTCATCTCAAACAGCTTTTCTATGAGGATCCTGAGGTTGACAGTTTCGGATGCTGCAGAAAAGCCAACGAATGCAGCACCTGTGATTTCACTCTTCCCAAATTCATCTGATCATCAAATAAATTGTGTTATATTCAGTAGTTGGCTAGTGCATATTTTCCAAGTCTGAAGCCTGGCTGTTCTGGAATGAGCCAGACTGTTTGAGAAGCGGCGTTCAAAGAGCTTGTAGATGTGGCTGAGGAGGAAGTTTAAATGCAGCTCTTGTATATATAGTGTAAACACTGCGAGTTTTACGCTTTAGTGAGATCTTGACTTGAAGATTTCATTGGGATGTGAAACGGAAACTCATCTTGTATAATAACTTCACAGCTAAAAAAAGGATGGTGAATGTATTTACCGACTTGCAGTCTGTGCTAGAAGTCATTCTAGTTCGATTTTTGAAGATATTACTCAGATAAAAATTGAGGTGAGAGACAGACTAAGCTGTCAATGGTTGAAATTCAAACACATATTCTCGCCTCACCAACTGTTCCTCGAACCTCATCGATAGCATTCGAGGTTACCAGAAGTTATAGCTTTACTGACAAAGAGCCTATGAAATGGATCTTGAGTGGGGTGAGAGCAATAAGAGTTAAGGCATTTCAAGTGTAGCCACTTTTACAAGGGGTTTGTATATCCCAAACCCCACCATGAACTTAAACCGAAGACCGCCATAAATTTTGATGCCTACAAGTCTATTGCTCATTCGAGAGGTGTCCTAATTAGAATTTCATGCCGCCATGTTGATCTGCTGATCATGTTCACTATTTTAACTCTTTTTCCCCCTCCTACACTTTGTCGAATTTGTCTCCGTATCTGTCCACTTGATCGTGCCTCGTTCAACACGAAAATATTCTCTCTCAAGATATCACCTTGTCATTTACAACGTCTCATGAAAGAATACTTAAGAGTCGTGCAGTTCTTTGTCGTAGCATTGAAATCAGTTGTAACCCAATCAGCATTTAGTTAAAAAAAAAAGGAGGTCTAGCCTTGGTTTAATAAACGGGTACTTAATTTTTCGTGGTCATACGAATGTCGTAAAAGTAATTCTATTGATATTTTTTGTAAAATCCTCTTTGTTGGAATACATGTTAAATATACGTGTAATCCAGAACGATTATTTTAGAAAATTTCCACCCCATACAAATCGCCAAATTAGAAAAATCGCCTAATTATAGAAAAAACAAACATTTATGTTATACAATATTACAAAATTTTATCCGTCCTTGTATAGTTGTTTTACAGTTGTTTTCATCAGTCAAAGGTTGAACATTATACAGTGAAAATTTCTGATCAAAATTCAGCTATTAACTGTGTTGTGCTACCGTCTTGAGCCATCCATCCATTTACACACACACACACACACACACACACACACACACACACACACACACACACACACACACACACACACACACACATATATATATATACATATATATAGATATTATTGAAAATGGCCTGAAACTGACAGCATGCAGTGTTGATTTCTTTTCACACAATTTCTCTCTCTACCAATCTATCTTTATCTATATTTATATATAAAGACTGGGTCATAAGTAGGTATACAGTTGTTTAATTATATGTCTACCGAGGTGACTTTTTAAAAAATTATTTACAGGTATTGTGAATAATGACAAATAATTTGAGTCAAGAACAAAGAAAGTGGATTCTTAAGTAAAATTTAAAGGTAGAAACACTGAGTAGGTTCGCAAATAGCCGAATTAAAAAAAGTTAATCTTGGAAGAATTTTGTGATATTGACGAGGATCGGTTATTTGTTGTACTGTGTGTTAAAAATGTTCTGGAGAGGTTCGAGGAATGTTGCAAGTTTGAAGAAGGTCATTTCGAGCACTTACAAGATTAAACTGTGTTGAATAAACTAATAGATGTAATTATAATAAAATAGGTAAAAAGACACTCTAAAGTTTATACCTAATTTTGACCCACTCTGTATATAATATATAAAAGTAGTTCGAACAGAGAACTTTTCAGCATCCTCTCTCTCTCTCTCTCTCTCTCTCTCTATATATATATATATATATATATATATATATATATATATATATATATATATATATATATATATATATATATATATATATATATATATATATATATATATATATATATATATATATATATATATATATATATATATATATATATATACCTTTAAATTCGATCTTGCCAACCGACCGATCCTTTGTAGCCGAGAGGTAAGGCACGTCAGGCTATATGACGGTTCCATATAGGATACAGGTTCGAATCCTGTCGAAGGACGAATATTTTCTATGAAAATTTCTCGGACATTCAGGCTGGTAAATGTTATTTAATACTGTTTATTAAAAACACAGCATTTACTTAAATAACTGTATCTATAAAAAGAATGTTAAACATAAAAATGTCTTGACATAATGTGTGAAATAATCTTCATAATGTGTGACGTCATTTGTTTACATTTGATACGTCATGAGCAGATATGAATGTACGTGAGAGATTCATGGAAAGTTGAAGTTTATAAGCAGCAAATTCGACCTTGCCAACCGAATGATCCTTTGTGGCCGAGAGGTAAGGCACGTCAGTCTATATGACGGTTCCGTATAGTATACAGGTTCTATGAAAATTTCTCGGATATATATATATATATATATATATATATATATATATATATATATATATATATATAGTGAACAGTGAGTTCTGGGAATAAAAACACAGTGCTAGTGCTAGATGGAAAATTATAGAACTAACATATACTAAAATAATAATATTGTTGTGCTTTACCACAGGATGCTACTCAATATTTCAACATCAAATATCAGCAATTTCTGCTTTATGATAACCTCTCGCAGGAAATTTTGTGTAGCATCGTGCGCCAAATATATATATTTAAAAAGTTTGAAGCCAACACCAGAATTAGCATGGGATGAACTTGACAGAAGAGTAAAAAAATGAAAAAGATCTCATAGTGTCATTGAAAAAAGAATGGAATCAATTATCATATTTATACTTTGAGAAACTTTTGCAACCAATGCCAAAATTTGTACTGCAGTAATCAAGTCTAAAGAGGGATATTTTGATGAGAGTAAATTTTAAACACAAAATCCTATTTTTCTTTTTGTCATAATTACATTTCTAATACAAAATCATGTCTCACATTTTCAATCAAAGTAAATTATAAAACAACTACTTTTGGTGCCGGTTGAAACAATTACAACGGGTGGCCTCAAATTTTTGAAATTTTTAGTATATATATATATATATATATATATATATATATATACTACGTATAAGAGAAAAGTTTAAGTTTTATAACTGGACACTCTAAAATATCTAGAACTGGACTCCCTAAAATATTTCATTATATTGGTGGTGGGTTATTTTGAACCAACTACATTTTTAGGAAGAACTGATGACAGCAAAATAGTGCACCATCTCTCACGGAGTAATCAAAGAATCCTCCTTAAGTTTGAATTCAGTGTTTACTGTTTAGACTAGTAGAGAACCCATGAATGCATAATTCTACTAGATTTCTAGGTGGGAGAGTGAAAGCTACGTCGCCGGCGAATTTTGAACGCAGCATGTCAATCCCACTTTTCACGTTGATAACAAATACGCCCGCACCTCAATGTCTGTGTGTATGTGTGTGAGTGTGTGTGTGTGCGTGCCTGAAAGTTTCCACATACTTGTGTACTGTGCATTGGTATATTTATATTGGTGAATCTTTGATAACAGCGAACGTAAGAATTATAATTGACCCATCATTAAAAAACAAATAAAGCTCAATTTTATAACTTCCTATGCAATATTTATGAACCTGTTTTTTTTTCACATAGATTCTAATTTATATTTTTCTTATTTTTTTTGTTGTCTGATCTAAAAGTCAGCGCGGAATTCAGTAGCTAAAACTATGTCAGGATCTACATTTATAATTTTATTTGTTATAAATTCTTTCTCAAATAGCATGGAACTTATCATCTGATGTGATCGCAAAGCCGTACTGACACGTTCTTAGTATTTCTCTTATAAACAGATTTTACTTAGCAGTGACTATTTCAGTTGCAAGAAATATGTGACAGATTGAATGTGTTAACATTCTAACAACATAGATTAAATACAAGTAACATTCGATTTGATTTGATTTGTTTAAAGGCATATCAACACCTGGGTCATTTAATACCGAAATTTAATGTTTGGTTAACTTTGATGTAATAAAATTATGATATGTTATTGTACTTTCACAATTGAATACATGGTAGATGATACTCATCTTTTACGAATATACATGTTTGTGGGGATATGATTACTAGAGTGTGTGAAGGTGTTTTTTATGTTCTAATTTTTATCAATTGTTTTAAAAAATACAATTTGGTTTCTTTAAGAAATTCTAGGATATTATATGGATTAATGTTATCAAACAGTTATTTCCCATTGGTCTTTTGCAGTTCCAAGGTGGAAAGCCCATCAGAAGAATTGTTTGTGATTATGTAGCTCCAGTCTATATGATCTATTTCAGACACTGATGAAAGATCGTCTTCTTTAAGTCCAAGTGGATCCAGTTGCTTGAAACCATTTTAATTATTCATTTAATAAAAGTGATGAAGAATTATCGTCGTTAAAATCTAAAGAATTCCTTCGCTTAAAATCATTTTAATCACTTATCTGAGAAAACGGTTGCATGTAGATAAGATTTTTCCCAACCATTTTTTAATTCAAGACGCACTAAAACTTTGGGTGCGCTTTAAATTTTAATAAGAAAAAATTAGTCATAAAATTTAAATAAATAGTAAAATAAAAAAGGAGTCTCCTGAAATAAGCATTTCTTTTTGACATTACATTTTATATTTAAGTTTACTTGCTGAAAACCTGTGCTTGGTGAACCCTCTGTAATTTATTGAATGTTAAACACATTCTTATTTCTTCATCAATGCATTTAATATTTAATCTATTTTTGTATTTAATGCTATTGAGTGAACAAAATCCAAATCCACAGATGTGGAAAATTGCAATAAAATATCCAATTCTTTAAGAGCTTTTGAAGTATATTCTTCCTGAATGTAAATTGATCAATGGACACCTCTTTTTATGCTTGATTTGTAAGTCACGATCAGTAGATATAGTGATCAGCAGATATAGTGATCAGCTCCACCTCTTCTGTTAAGGAATTTAGTGTCCAGTTTAAAGTACCAAATGACAAAGACTTGGCTTTAGCATGAAAGCCATATCCTTGGTGTTTGTAGATTTTGAAAATATAAAAATAATTCATAAAATACACTTCTGCAAACTTGGGGCGCACTTGGTTACTTTTCACGCGCACCAGTTGATAAATGCTATTCTGTTGACTTGTTTGTTAAATAGTAGTAAGTGGGACGAAATATTAGCGACAAATGAAATGAGATTTTTACACACATTTAATGAAAGTTAAACGTTTATATCATGTGTTTGAATTGCTATTCCTGTTTTTTTTATTATTATTTTACTAAAGAGTGAAATTAATAATGACCGGCCAAGAGTGAAACACCCTACTCAATAAAATGCTTGCTTCCAACAGAAATCGAACTTGCATCCCTTTTTCCCATCATTGGTCGCTGACTGTTGCTGAAGAGCCTTTTTTATCGCTATGGGTTGATTCCGAATCGCTGAGTTTTGCGCGAGAATGTATTCAGTAACTTGAGCCCTGACCTATTCAAAGTCATTTGGGATTCAACCGCGTGGGTGTACTAGAGAGAACATCACGTAACTTGTCTTATCCAGTCAAGTTCCAGAAACAACTTACTTAATTTGGGAGCTGCGTTTCTACAGAATTGTAAAAAAAATTCGTGTCTACTGAATTTAGTGAGATTTATTTGAAGGTGTCTCTTGTTTGTAGGTCACTTATTGACTGTAAAGTTTGTATTCTATAGCAATCAAGGCTTTACTAGCTATTGAAGAAGATTCTTCTTGAATGTAAATCCCAAACTGATTAATGCACACCTCTTTATGCTTGATTTGTAAGTGACGATCAGCAGATAGAGTGATCAGCTCCTTCTCTTTTGTTAAGAAATTTAGCATCTGTTTAAAATATCAAATGACAAAGATTGATTTTTTTATAAATATAATAATAATTCATAAATGATTCTTCTGTTAATTTGAAGCGCATCTGGTTACCTTGTAGTGTGCCTTAGTGCGCCCGAGTGCACTAGTTGTGAAACTCTGGTTTCGATATTTCTGAACAGGCTGAACGCCATTATGACAACCATTTGAGAGTCTAGATCTAACGAGGCTTTTTAAGAACATGATTTTAGTTGGTCTCTAATGAGTTCTGCATTCATTCCTATCACAAGCGCAGTACTTATGAAGTGAACACAAACTATCATCCGATTTGAACACGTTTCGTCGATTCCACTTTTCATGTTGTTAACATTTCACTTTTAACCATGTTGTTAACATTTCACTTTTAACCCTGCGTACCTGAACAATTTTAACCTTTCAGCCTGAGCTTCTGCGTCAAAATTGGCAAATAATTGATATGTAATGTTTCACAGTAGATTATATTTAGCAGGGAGAGATTATGATTGCATGCTTTGTCCCTGATTACTTCCCTGACGGTCAAGCTTGAGACTGCACGCTTCATGGTAAAAACGATCTTTTTTTATCCAAAAAAACATGCACAAAACACAAGGGAAAAGCGCGGACATGTTCGATGACATCAGAATATTACGGCTATTCTGATTGGCTCTTCAAAATAAGACAACCAATAGCAAAACACGACGCAAATGGTTGGGTATTAAGTCATTTTTCTCTACCACTATTCAACCGGTGACTGGGCATTACATCATTTTCTCTACTACCGGTAAATCGGTGACCAGAGCTCAAAGGGTTAATGGACAAGAACATAAACAATAGAGACTTCCAGTCGCATTAACATTTTGGGAGCTAATATCTTCCTCATTTTTGTTGCTTTATCATAACCTTTCGATCGTTCAGATTACTGACCCTCGCAATATTTTGTGAAATTCCGTGACGAACAATTTGTAATATTCAACCGGATATTCAAATTAGCATTTAATTTAATGTTTCAACGATTGGGTCTGAGATTCTAAGGTTCTGACATCATTTAGTGCAAAGATTCATTGATTTTATCGAGAATGTTCTGCTGATAAGCCGAATTTTATATTGTTTCTAACCTGTTTTCGAGCACTAACCATTGGTGCCATTAACAAGAGCGCAACTTGCAGAATCGTGTCATCAACTTTTCCAATATTGAATTCTTTCATTAGCCACACATATATCAGTTAAAGCATTTGTCGAAATAAAAAAAATGTAATTTAGAGCGCGATTTAAAAATATGAATACGTTACTGCAAATGTGCTATATTCATGGGAGAAACGTTTTCGGTATCATAGACAGAGTATTTGATGATGTAGAAATCAACATTACATGGTGACTTTCAGTTTCACACCTCAATGCAAGGCGTTTCATTAGCAGTTATTATACAGTATTGATTCCGATATCCACACTGTTATTCTTTTAACCAATTCACGCCAAGAATGGCGATTTTGCCACTAAGACGCAAGGAGTTAGTGAAAGAAAATGAGAAGACTTTAGAAGGAACCGGAAACCGAATCTTAAGCAGGAAACAAGGGATAAATCTCTCGTCATGTTCAAAAGACCGGGAGGAGTTTATAAAGTGAGTATAGGCGAATCTATCTATCTATCTATCTATCTATCTATCTATCTATCTATCTATCTATCTATCTCAGCCTGTTTATTTCAGTCACTATATCTATTTATCTTTCTTTTTATCGCAGTTTCTCTATTTCAGTCTCTTAGTATCTATCTATCTTATCTATCTATCTTTATCTATCTCAGCCTGTTTATTTCAGTCACTATATTTATCTTTCTTTTTATCGCAGTCTATCTCTCTATTTCAGTCTCTTAGTATCTATCTATCTATCTATCTATCTATCTATCTATCTATCTATCTATCTATCTATCTATCTCAGCCTGTTTATTTCAGTCACTATATCTATTTATCTTTCTTTTTATCGCAGTCTATCTCTCTATTTCAGTCTCTTAGTATCTATCTATCTATCTATCTATCTATCTATCTATCTATCTATCTATCTATCTCAGCCTGTTTATTTTCTGTCTATTTCAGACACTTTCTGCCTATCTATCTAATCACATCTCATGCAGTTTCGTGTTTGCAATGACGCTTTATCTGTCGTTTGTCGATTTGATTAAATTTTGTTTTTCTTAATCCCATGTAGATTCTCAGGGATATTTAAATGAAATGCTCCTAACAGTAAATCTCTTATGCTTAATATATTTGCATTTTTTCTGCAAGAAAAGTTTTCATTATACGCTTTGATTCTATTAAATTGTCTCATGCTTCTATAATGAAACGTCACCATCGCTAAACTTCTTTATTACCAGTTATTTTTTCTGTTCTTCGTGATAATGTTTTTTTAATTTTAGATTCCTTCCTTCCTTCCTTCCTTCCTTCCTTCCTTCCTTCCTTCCTTCCTTCCTTCCTTCGTCCCACTCTTCCTTTTTATTATTTATTTTAATTTTCTTTTAATTTTTTTCCTTTCTTTATTTTCTATTTTTTCTTTATACATTCAAAATGCTTTTAGCGGCATTCCCGCTGTTAAATTGGTACGACTATACAAAATCGTGAATTTTTATACTTACAATCGCTCAGAAAATGTGCCTTCTGCCAGATATAAGTAAATTTAATAAATATATTCTTTCTATCTCTTTATTTATTTAGGAATTTTATTTTTTTGTCAATTTCGAATTAAACACAATAATAAAAAAAATTTACAAGAAGACAGAGTGTATGGTTGTCAGCAAGAGGTACACTCCAAGATATGAACTTCGAATTGAAAATTTCAAAATCAAACAAATACGTAACTTTAAAGGAAAATTGAAAAAGGTTTCTACTGACAACAGAAACAAAAATTAAGCTTATACTTCGAATCAGAAAGAAGTGGCTCAAATTTCTCGGACACATAACGAGGAAGGAGGGCATGGAAAATTCAACACTAACAAGACATATCAAAGGTAAAAGATCCAATTGAGACAGTGGGCTTGTCGAGTTTATGTGAGTATATGGTAGTGTAAGGAGTGGTAGAGATAGTAAGAAATCAAAATTTTCTAAATGACAGGATGTAGGTGAGAGCCATGATTTTCCACGAAGACGGAAGACGACGAATCAACAATTAGGAGTGAATTAAGTACTCTGATTTTCAATTACCCGTTACATAAGTCAGAACAAAGAGATGAAACGAGAAATACAAAGATAGAAACTGCTATATGTCATGGAAGCATATATAATCTAGAAATGCGCGGGTAATGTAATCGAGGCAGGAAGTGGAAGACATCAGAGGAATTAAAATTCACAATTTGTGACGTTTAATCTTTGCACAAATGTCCTTGATAAAGGAATTAATGCCTGTCTTAGCCTTCAACTATAGATTAAATAATAGTGAAGTCTGAGCTATCTTGCCTTGGTTGAAATCCAGTCTAATTGAAGTATATCTGTGTATTCAAAACTGTGGAAAAGGCAAGGGGAAAACTACATCACTATGCTTCTCAAGACGTCATTGCAATTCACAGATAAGAAAGAAAAAGAATTTATGGGGAGACATGATTGTTTACGTCTTGAAGGAACATGACATTTGAAAAAGACCAATTATCTTCGTCCATGCTTTCTTTACGATAACTTTAGTTAACTCTTTATTACTTGCACTTTTCTTTTTCTTTTTATGTGCCGTGTCCCTTCAGGACGAAGGCGATCATGGTTCTCCACTTCCTCCTATCCACTGAAGCTCTCAATAAGTTACGTCCGGCTGCCACTCTCCACAGACCACGTTCTTCTATCCACTTGCTTAAGCCCGCCAGGTATGATATGCGTTGCTTTCCCTTGTTTCCCTTTCTCTCCATTCCACCTGTGAGTATCAGATTCTCCAAACCATCCTTTCTTATTACATATCCCAGAAATGTCAGCTGCCTCTTCCTGATATTAAGTATAAGATTCCTTCTTGTCCATCATCGTTGCTCACACTCGCGGAATTTTGATATCCTCAGCATCCTTCTGTAGAACCATACCTCCGTTGCCTCGAGTCTCTTCTTCATCTTTGAGGAGACCATTCAACATTTTTTATCTTCAACGTTTCTAAAGACGTCACGTAACAGCTCAGTACTCTTTTCTTTGTTAACAAAGAAATCCTCCTGTCTCGTAATACTCGGCCCAGCTTTTGGAATGCGTCCTTGGCCATCCCAATACGTCTTCTACCAAGCATAAACCTATAGATCCCAGCGTATAGCATCTTTAGATGGTACCTGAAAACCATTCCACAAGCTGACCTATGTATTGTGGATAAAATTCAGTAGAAGGAAATATTCACAAGAGGTTGTGCTAGCATGAAGTCACAAGTCATCATGACTGAGAGTTTGGTGTCGTATTGGCTTTGTTCAAACTACTGATCTCCTCATATTATGCACTCTCTTCCAGAAACTGTAGCTAAGGAATGTTCGGTATAAACCATAGGTGGGCTCTTCTGGTGTCGAATAAACAAAAATATGGCTGAGTAGGTATTGGCTTGCTGCCCTAGCACAAGAGTGCGTTCGTAAATGAATAACCTGCCATTATATATAGGTATATATTTCCTTATCCAACATCGAGTTTGAAAATAATTTTTACGACTCTCTTTTCAGCTGATCTGCTCTTAGAACTTGCAATGTAACGAATTTTTTTTAAAATATAAATCTATCCCAAGCAAAACGCCACTAATATGCAAGGGACTACTGGGAGTGAAAAAAAAATGAAAAAATATTTAGAAGGAACCGGAAACTCAGTCCTAAAAAAAATAAAGCTACAAATCTGTACAAAAATACCAGGGAGGAGTGTGACCATATCTACTCCTACTTACAAAAAAATAAATAGTAAATAAAATTTTATTGTTTAGACGGAGATATTAGAAGTACAGAGTTAAAGTAGACTTTAGAAGGAACCGGAAACCCAATCCTAAACAGAAAACAAGTGACACACCTCTTCAAAAAATCAAGGAAATTGATTATACTTTTCCTATTAATATTTTCATGATAATTTTTCTGAAGAACTTTTCTCCATCGCACCTAGACTTTATGAACTCAAACGCAGCGCGAGACGAGCGGCAAGGTCCCATCATTTTGAACAGATGAAATTCGATGAAATGACGTGTATTCGTATAAGATTCGGACTCTTGCTCATTTCTCTAGAAACATCTACACGACATTGGCCAATAAAGTGGTTGTGGCTTGGCGAAATAAGCGTATTTCTACGACTTTCATTTATATATTCAGTAAACTACGTTCTTTCGTTAGCTATCTAATAGTAAAATTAATTCAACGTTCTTCATCGTATTCGGTATGATCCATTATTATCAACAATATTCTTTCTTTCTTTCTTTCTTCAATTCCTTCTCTTTTCTCTTGAATATTCTCTTCTTTTTATATTTATCAACAACATTCTGTCTTTCTTTCTTTCTTTCTTTCTTTCTTCTCTTTTCCCTTGATTATGCCCTTCTTTTTACATTTCTCAACGACTTTCTTTCTTTCTTTCTTTCTTTCTTTCTTTCTTTCTTGCTTGCTTGCTTGCTTCCTTTTTTTGCTTCCTTGGTTTCTTTTTATCTTTCTTGTTTCTTTCGTTTCGTTTCTTTCTTTCTTTCTTCGTTTCTTTCTTTCTTTCTTTCTTTTCTCTTGGTTATTCTCCCCGTTTTATGTATATTTATCAACAACATTCTTTCTTTCTTTCTTTCTTTTTTTTCTCTTAGTTATTCTCTCCTTTTTATATTCATCAACAACATTCTTTCTTTCTTTCTTTCTTTCTTTCTTTCTTTCTTTCTTTCTTCTCTTTTCCCTTGATTATGCCCTTCTTTTTACATTTCTCAACGACTTTCTTTCTTTCTTTCTTTCTTTCTTTCTTGCTTGCTTCCTTTTTTTGCTTCCTTGGTTTCTTTTTATCTTTCTTGTTTCTTTCGTTTCTTTCTTTCTTTCTTTCTTTCTTTCTTTCTTTCTTTCTTTTTTTTCTCTTGGTTATTCTCCCCGTTTTATGTATATTTATCAACAACATTCTTTCTTTCTTTCTTTTCTCTTAGTTATTCTCTTCTTTTTATATTTATCATCAACATTCTTTCTTTCTTTCTGTCATAACCAACTGTAGAGCGATACTATTTTGAATATTCTCACAAGCAATTGCCAGTAAGTTTGATCCTAAATAGTGCTCTCTTGTATCAAATATAGCTTACTCTAAAGTTTATTTTATATTCCTTCTTTTATTACATATTCCTACGTACCTTTTTTTACTCCCTTCATCCATATTCTATATTTTCTCTTTCTTTTCCCCTTTCTTTATTTCCTCTTTTTTTATTACCTCCCTTATGACCTTACAGGGCAAAAGAATGTTTTATGCTTCATGCAGGAGTTTTTAAGTGATTTTAACATCTACCATGAAACTCTCTTCTGGCTGTTTTCACAATTAATTGCTTGCCAGTGATTTCTTTTTATTTCACAGTAGGATTTTTTTTATATTTCTTTTCCATTTATTGCCTTTAGTTCACTTACAATGTGATTTTAAAATTTCGTTTCATGATGCTTAAAATCCCGGATTTGTTCATACACAACAGCCATAAAATCGCCGAGGAAACTAAATCCTGATCACAAACTGTATAATAATGATATAGCAAGACTTGCGTAATTATTTTAGCTTATAGTTTCTGATTTTATATATGTGATCAGAAGATCTTGGGTGCGGTGTTATTCAATATGAACTAGCTTTATCCAAAATAAAGTTAATGATTTTTATTTTAAAGATAAAAGTTTCACTCATAAGCAATTCTGCTGCAGGCATCTGCTTACTAGTAAAACTTTATTTTGGTATCTATTTTGTGTAGTAAACACGTTGGAGATTAAAAATGTTATTAATACATTGATCTTAGTAATGATTTGAATAGTAATGATTTGATTGATCCTGTCCTCATGCGATAAGTAACTTTTAATGAGAATAGAAACTAAAATTAACATATCGCTAACAATCAAATAGAGAGAGCTGAAGTATTTTGGACATGTAATGCAAAAAGAAAGCATATGAAACGCAAAATCCTTGAGAAGCAGAGGAATTCAATGAGAAACTTACTTGACAATTTTGTTTAAATAGAAAGAGGACCAAGTAGCACAAAATTAAAGAGGGATTATGATGTAATGGAATAACCTAGGTAAGGTAGACAGCCCTGAACCCGTTTATGCAGGTTTATAGGGAATTTGTCACCGGATTGCCCCATATTAAATTCAGCCTTGTGCCAGATCCTACCTCGAGGGGAGGCTGGTAAATATTAAGAGCTGGGATCCGTTGAGTAGCACTCAGACTTACGCGAGAACTTCCGACCTTCCAATAGTAGCCCTCACTACTGGATTGACTTGCGACGACCTTGTGTGTAACTGTTACTTTTATTCTTATTGTACTGTTTTTTGTTTTTTTGCAATAAACCTTTACTTATTTTATCCACCTTGTTTTTCAAGTATATATTCCTATTAGCACGGAATATAAAAGATTATAAAGAAATAAAGTTTTAATGATGGCTGCAAAAGCAGAATGCTGGAGGGACATATGATCGTTAATATTCGAATGGCATATGACTGAGAAGCAATGAGAGGGGGGAAAATTAAGAAAGAAAAAAGAAAGAAAGATAGAGATAGAGAGTGAGTCGGGGAGGGATAGAGAGGGAGAAGGGAGAAAAACTTTAGTACAGAAAAATATTTACAAATTATTCTATTAATTAATTGCGCTTAATAATTAATGGGGTACTTGATATTTGCGAGGAAATATATTGAACTTCTCCACTTTCCAAAGCCCATATCAGACATTAATATATACATAACATACAGGATGTCCCATAATGACGGGACACGTTTTAAATGCAAGTATCTTGGATTATAAAAGATACATAGAGTTCTAAATACATTCATTACATAACTGACATACAAGAGATCAACATATCTAAGATTTTGGTATTTCCTACAGATAGCTTATATCTCTTTTAGCTGAGGGTGGTCCCTCATAATGTCGTAGTCTCCAAAAGAAATTACATACATAGTGGAGCATAATTCATCAGCTGAGGATCCATAATTACATCACAAAGTAAATTCAGACTGCATTTTGGAAATTGACAGACACCATCCAGAAAGGTAAGCCTGCGTCCTGTTACAAACTTCCGTGAGACAGGCAATGCCAACTGCGTTTGTAAAGAGAGAGAAAGAGCTTGGGCATGTTTTCTTCGTAGTTGTGACCATCTCTGGGATGTAATAATCAAATCATAAATAATGATTTGAACTCTTCTATATTAGTTATGTAATAAGTATATTAGTACTGTATATTATTTTTATAATCCAATATACTTACATTTAAAATGTGTAACATCATTATGGGACAACGTATATTAACGTAAAAAAGAACGACTAGAATAACAGAAAGAAATGAATTCCAGAAATGAGTTATGCCTGAAAATATTTTATATTCAGCGCTGAAGTACATAAATATTATGTATATTAAGATGCAATAAATACACACACACACACACACACATACATACATATATATATATATATGTGTGTGTGTGTGTGGACAGTAAATGTGTCTTTTATATACATTTACTGTCCACCTACTTTTGGACCACTCTCTCTCTGCATATATATTATGAAATGGACATTTTTATGTTTATACATTCTTTTTATAGATTCAGGCCGGTAAAGGTTATTAATACTGTTTATTATAAACAGAGCATTTACTTAAAATATTAATATCCATAAAAAGAATGTACAAACATAAAAATGTCTTAAAATAATTGTCGGACATTGCCCATTCTATAGTGTGACGTCATTGTTTAAATTTGGATACGCAGTGAACAGATATGAATGTACGTGAGAAATTCATGGAATATTGTAGGTTAAAAGGAGTAAAATCGACCTTGCTAACTGAACGATCCTCTGTGGCTCAATCGGTTAAGGCACGTCAGGCTATATGACAGTTCCGTATAGGATACAGGTTCGATTCCTGTCGGAGGACGAATATTTTTTATGAAAATTTCTCGGACATTCAGGCCGGTAAATGTTATTTATACTGTTTGTTATAAACAGAACATTTACTTAAAATATTTGTATCTATAAAAAGAATGTATAAACATAAAGATGCCTTTATATATATATATATATATATATATATATATATATATATATATATATATATATATATGTACATGAAGAAATATAATTTTAAGGTGTGCTATATTGATAGGATAAAGTGCTCAATATCAGAGATAGAGCATATGTAAATATAAAAGTGACCATTGAAGTCAACACCCAGAGGCGACAGGCTGTTTCATGCTAGATGCAACCGTCAGGCGGCCTGACAATTGTATCTAGCATAAAATAGCCTGTTGCCTCGGTGTGTTGACTACAACGTTCAGTTATATATATATATATATATATATATATATATATATATATATATATGCATATATATTCCCCAAATAAGGTTTCAATAAATTATATTTTATTTTTGTAAGATTTTTTTAATAAAGAGAATTATATTCTGAAAAAGGCGGCCTAAAAATGACGCTGATATCAGATTTTTAGCAACAAAAAAAAAAAAAGCTCTTCCCATTCAATTTAAATTTGTTTTGAGGTTGAAAAAAGTATTTTGCTTATTTGAAATATGAAATTTAATCAACTTGAAATTAAAGCTAAAATAAAAGCGTCAAGACAAGTTTTTCATTTTTTGATATTCCATTTAAAACTCAGGTATCACGAATCATTAGAGGTATATATATATATATATATATATATATATATATATATATATATATATATATATATATATATATATAATATCGCGTCGTTTATCGATAAATGAGTGTCTTTCGACAAATGTTTTCAGTTCAGTTTTAAAATCAGTTCCCGTCGCCTTGACACTCTCGCCAGTTGACTTGTTGCTCAGGTTGAATATTAAATAAGAAACACAGAACTGAACTGCAGACTATCCACACAAAAGATTTGTTTATAGTGTTGAAGGTTTGTGCAGAACCAGCAACACTTATTGGAAGTGCTGATAACAAGGAGTTGGTGCAAATATTTGCCACGAACACCATGAACAACTCCCCTCAGGTTTTATTATCATGGAGTTATACCTCTCCAGTACTAGCAGTACACAGAAAATTGCAGCGCCTTTCGATGGTAATTACACGTTAAATGATGAAGCGGTTTTCAGGTTTTGGCGGTGAAAATTTGCGTTGACCTCAATGTTCACTTAGGTAAATAATCCGGAATTCTTTCGTATTTTTAATTATATTGAAGTTTTAGCTCCTGTTTTTGAAACATGAAAACTCTTATGTAAAGGAAGGAACCATATTTTAAAAAATAATTATATATATATATATATATATATATATATATATATATATATATAATATATACACATAGCAAAATTCCCATAAACACATATAAGAAAGCAATATGTGAAGAATGAAAATAATATATTACTTATAACGTCCGCATGAAAGACACGGTAGAGTTCTGCTAATAAGTCTCGGGATCCTATTTAGGACGCATCGGGATTGTGCTGTCTGACGTGCTTAGTTGAACTGAAAAACTGACTACCGCATTTACTACCGTTTGAGCAAAGCAGGAACTGATTATTCTCACTAGTGGACTATCATATAATCCTCAATATCCTCTGAAAGTCTTCTCTAAATTCGTCTTGCCCAAAGGGAGATAACTGCCTTCTACATTTCGACAATGGCGTTTTCTATACTCATATGACAAACGAGTGAGTTATAAGGAGAATAGGAACTAAAAAGTGACAGTCAGAAAGAAAGATACAATTATTCGGTAACGTATTTTCCGAGAGAAATCTTGGCGCATTTAACAGCCACAAGGAATATCCAAGGTTGGAGAACCAGGGGAAGCATTAGTTGACAATGTTATGCAAATTAATAGAAGAGCAAGTATCATAAATCCAAGAGTGGCCACAAAGAAAGATGCTTTGTTATGAACAACGAAGAACAGAAACCTTGAGAAAACTATGATCATCCATATCATGGATGGA